GAGGATAAAGACAAGTATTGGTTGTTTTCTTAGTTACAAAATCTTGTAACCAAAGAGGTGGTCTACGTGGTCTGCCTGATCTGCTTGAAGAGACAGCAGGAACCTGAGACTGAATAACTGGGATATGAGCTGTTGTAGGGAGTGGGATTGGAATATGTTGTGAGGATGCTTCAGGAGTTTCTATGAGAGGCTTAGAAGAAGGTACTACAGATGCAGATGAACCCACATCAATAGGTGATGTAATATCAAGGACTGGAAAGATAGGTTCTGAGGAAGTTTGCATGTGCTTAAAGGGAAATAATTCTTCATGAAACACCACATGTCTGTTTACAAAGAAACTAAGAGCATGAATGTCATATAAGATATACCCTTTTTGTGTGGATAAATAACCCATGAACACTGCAGGAATGGCCCTGGATGAGAATTTATCAACTGGTTTAAGGGTAGCAGCATAGCACAGACACCCAAAAATCTTTAAGTGGGATAAGGATGGGGAATGATGATAGAGTTTTTCATATGGAGACTTGTATGAGAGGACTCTAGAAGGGAGCCTATTTAGGATATACACAGCAGTGGAGATACAGTGACCCCAGAACTTGAGGGGTAATGAAGCTTGAAACCTGAGTGATCTGGCTATGGCAAGGATTGTTCTATGCTTCCTTTCAGCTACACCATTTTGTTGTGGTGTATAAACACAAGTACTCTGATGGGCAATGCCAAGATCACTTAGTAATGTCTGAACCTCACCACTGAAGAATTCACAGCCATTATCAGTTCTCAGAGTTTTCACAGTGGTGGAGAATACATTCTGAACTTGCCTCAGAAAGTGTTTGAGCACCACTACAGTGTCAGCTTTAGATGCAATTAGAAACACCCAAGTATATCTGCTAAAATCATCCACAATTGTCACAAAAAACCTCTTGCCATTATACGTAGGAACTCTGTAAGGTCCCCACAGATCACAATGCAACAATTCAAATACATGTTTTGTCATATGAGTGCTTAAAGGAAAAGGAAGTTTAGTATGTCTAGCTAGAGGACAAACAGTACAGGGAATTTGATCAGTACTCTTTAAAGTCTTGAGACACTCAAGCCTCTTTATTACATCAATAGGTGCATGACCAAGTCTTTTGTGCCATACACTACTAGACTCAGACTGAGTAACAGAATTGATAGATTTCGGTAACTGAACATGTTTACTACTATTGACCAGCTTATCTGGAGCTTGACTTGGTCCCTCTTGTAGTATGTATAAGCCATGTTCCTCTTTACCAATCCCCTTCACCAGACCAGTGGAGAGGTCCTGGAAAAGACAAAAGTCAGGAAAAAAACAAACCATACACTGTAACTCTCTTGTGATCTTTGATACTGACAACAAGTTAAACTTGAAGTCTGGGAGAAATAACACATTGGATATAGACTGATTAGCTAACACACAAGTGCTCCCAATGTGAGAAACTGCTGCAACTTTACCATTTGGTAAATGTACCTTACTGTCTCCTTGAGCATGGACTTCCCTAACTCTATCTAGGAGACCAAGGTCAGATGTGATATGATGAGAGGCTCCAGTATCAATTATCCATTGTTTATTGGCATAATTACAGGATAAAGTAATAGGAGCCAAATCTGCATCATCAGTAGTGGCAATATTTGCAGAAGGCTGAACTGTTGTGTTCTCATCACCAGGTCTGGAAAGCAATTGGAGAATCTATTGATACTGAGCAGAAGTGAAAAAAGCTCCAGTGTGTGGACCTGCTCCTGAAATATTTTTTCCTTTGTTGCTACATCCTATGGTCTCTTGTCCAAGATTAGGGGGAAGATCCACCTGATTAGCATACATCCCAGTGTTCAGAGGTTTCCTCTTGGACTTGAAATCTGTAGGGTATCCAACTATTTTGTAGCACTGCTCCCTAGAATGTCCCTTGCACCCACAATGTTCACATTGTATAAAATTCTTTCTAGTCTTGTAGCTTCCTCCTGAGGAACTAGCACTGTTGTTGTATCCTCCACCATGATCACCAGCTCCTGAGAATGAACTGGTGGAGTGGACTTTTGATGATCCTGCTCCATTATTGTAAGTGTGATTTCTCTGAGTGTACATTGTTGTGCCTTCTAGAACTCCTGAAGCACTCGAACTATTGCTTGCCAGACTTCTCTGACTCTCTTGATCAATCAGCATTGCATAGGCTTTATTTAGTGAAGGAATTGGACTCATCATTAAGATCTGGCTTCTAGGAGGGGAATATGACTCATTTAGCCCCATTAGAAACTGTAGAAGCCTTTGATAGTCACAGTGTTCACCAAATTTTTTGGACTCCGGACATGGACAACTTGGACATGGCATGATAGCATCATACTCATCCCAGAGGTCTCTTAGTTTTGAGTGATAGTCAGCAATTGACATTGTACCCTGAGTGAGAGAGTGAATCTCTCTATGTAACTGAAATATTCTGGATCCATTCACAGTGTCAAACCTTTCTCTCAGATCTAGCCACACCTTTCTAGCATCAGATGCATACACTACAGAACTCAGAAGACCAGGTCTTACTGCATTCATAATCCAGCTTAAAACTACTGCATTACACTTTTCCCACTGGTCATGTAGTTCAGACTCAAACATAGACTTAATGAATCTTCCATCTACAAAACCTAGTTTACTTCGACCTACTAGACCAATTCGAAATGACCTACTCCACAATGCATAGTTTTCTGATCCTGTTAATTGTAGAGAGATTAGAGAACTACCTGGAGTTTCTGTATGTTGAAGAAACAGCGGATGATTGTGATCAATGGCCGGAAATGTGGTTGTGCGAGCACTTCCAGTACTGGTGGCTTGAATCTCAGCTCCTTCCATTGTACCTCCAGTCATGAGATCCTAAATCTTTCTTCTGATTCACCTATTTTTGGAGAGGTGAGATCGAAGTTCCTAGGTATTCTCTATGATCGTGGGCTTTGATACCATGAAAGCTTCATAACTCAATCTTAAACACCATAGCTAGAAGAGAGGAAGAAGAGAGAGTTGTATTGATTGTATAATATGACTTCATACAATGTATCTGTACAGAGTGTGTATTTATACTACAAATATATGCAGTAACTAACTCATGCTAACAAGGCATCTTTCTAACTAACTTTCTTACTCATTGGTTAACTAACTCAACCATATAGCTTGTTAACTATTTACACTGGTTAACATAATTTTTCACATAATAGGTTCTTCTCATGCCCAACGTCCAGCTAAAACTCCAAGGTCTTAAGTTAGGGGAATCAGCTTTATAACATGTAATAAAGATAAATATATTTGTTGTAAACTAATTACTTTATTGTCTATATTTGAAACTGGCCCTTCGAAATATAAGTTGGGTCAGGTCAAGTCTATATATTTTTTACTTTGCTAATTTTTTTAAAAACTAACTCTTAGTTATTTCCTAAATGTTAATGATTCTTGAAAATGACAAACACTCTAAATTAAATTAAAGATCATACCTTAAAAGGAAAGTTCAAAATTTAGAATGTTTGTAATTCTAATCTCTTAAGATACTAGTTTCTAAATTAATAAAATTATACATATTCACTAAATTTATTAATATAAATAAAAAAATTGAATTAACGCTATCAAATTTAATTGAACTCATAATTGATTAACTAACTTCACCTCTTAATATGATTGGAGAAGATATAATAATATAATAGGGACATTAATTCATAGAGGTTTAAGGATAATTTTTTATTTAAACTTGCCAATGAAGTCAGACCAAGCTAACCCGACTTCCTAAAATTGAGGCCTTACACTAATCTCGGACCAAACTCACATTTAGGCGTTAGCAGGGGCCAATTGGGAGTGAAAAGTGGAATCTTATCATCCTCTAACACCTCCTTGTGTATTGTAATGTTAGTTTAAATATAATATTTATTTTGATTGTTACTTAAATTCTATTGTATCGTATTGTTTCGTTTAAACTCATCGTTAGCTAACAACGAAACGAAAATACCTATTTTATATAACAGCCTATTTTGTGTGGTCTCATTGTTACCTTCATATGTTTCTTCTTATTTTTCTTTTTTATTATTTGATAAATATATTTATCTTTTATCCTACATTTTCAATTTTTCATAGTAGCTTTATCTCTTACCCAACTTTTCTTGTAGGTTTATCATTCAAATTACGAGTGTGTGACATTATGTAACGATAGAGAACGATACAATCTATCCAAACATTATATTCATTAAAACAATACAGTACCATACAATATAATACATTATGAAATAACACATAACAACCATCCAAACAAAGTTTTGTGCATCCACATTAATTTCCAAAATTGGTGAGCTTAGCAACCCTTTCTTGACTGGTGAGTGGAACAATGATATAAATTAGTTAGTCCTAATACATGTTATCTGATTTTTGGCACAAGAACCGTAAAACATCTTGGTGCTTTGCTTCTATCACGGTTTCAACTGAAAATGATAACGACGAGTTTGGTATGATTTTATTTAGTATAGTGGGTCGTGTTTGGGTTAAAAAAGAGAATCACACAATTTCAATTGAAATTGGATATTTGTGCAAATTTGGGGGTTTTCGTCATAGAGGTACATGTGATGAGTTCGCAAACATGGGTGTAAATGACCGTATGGTATAACAGAGGGTAAAATTAGCTATTAAATAAATGTTGAGGGGTAATTTTGTCCCTGCACTCTTCATTATTTGACAAATGCTTAATGCAACTATCGACATTTTACCCATGTTAAATTTCACTTATTTGACATACGTGGAACCAAATTATAAGCAGAAAAACATAGCTTAAACACCATCAAAGCATAGACATTGAAATTCCAAACACGTTGATAAGTTTTTGGGAAATTTCAAAAAATACCCTCAGCATAAAGCAAATACATTTATAAAGAGGTACCTGAATCTTAGCCTCTTATTAGTATACCAAATGAATTGCTTATTCGAAAAAGGGCCACTTCATGGTTCAGTTTCCAGGAGAATTACTTGATTTACGAAGAAAAAACTAACGCAATCATACTCATCATTTAAATACTTTATCAATTGAGACACTACAGTTTATATGTATTACTGATGAATGTTTTTCTACTCACAAAGATATGGAGAAGGTAGTCTAAAAACTTCTGCCCAAAAAAAGTGATAAAAGCCGACAACCAAAGGTTGGGCGAAGGTAGAAAGGAAAAAGTTAAGCCTTAATAGCGAGATGCGACAAAATTTAGAGTATGACTTTGTTGTCTCTGCATTGATATTTCGCTAGCAGGCGATTTCAAGAACCCTGGCTGAATTTCCGGCCAGTCATCTTCTCAGATTCATGCAGCATGTGATTTATAAGCCCCCTCGCGGCACTGTAATACCATAGGAAAACAATGGAATGCATCCAATCAAAAGGTGGTTCATGATGTGAACTGGCACCAAGTTATATAATCGTTTGAAAATTACCACCAGTTTGGAAGGACATCCATTTTATTGAAAACAATAAAAGCAAAAACAACAAGACGGAATGAACTTACTCATCCTTCAATTTCTGAATTTTATCTGGATCAGTCTCATGCATATGCTTTTTGAACTGTTGTCTCACCATACCAACAAGAAGCTGTGTGTTATATTGCTGCAAATTAAGGACAGACAACTATATAAGTAGCTACTTCTCAAAAGACAGTCAAATTTATCTGAAATATTGTAAACAAAATGACAGTTCCATGCAATAGAATAAAAAACAAGCCAAGCTCTTGCACCAGTGCTTTTGGTTCTACAATTTTCCACATAATTTTTTTATTATTTTGATCAAGCAATTTTTCACATGGTAGGTTCTATCATGCCCAACGTCCAGTTAAAACTCAAAGGTCTTATGTTAGGGGAAGCAGCTCTATTACATGTAAAAAAGATAAATATATGACAAGATGCATTCTTGTCTTTTGGGGGGGGGAGGGAGGAGGTATGGGATTGGGGGTGCGAAATTGTCGATGCACTTCTCGAAACTGTACATCTTAATTGAACTGTACATCTTAATTGCTGATGTAAGTAAAACTGAGCAATATATAAAAAGGACTTAAAGACCATGGGGTTCACTCGAGGGTGTGAGGAAGGGAAATGTGTCATAAAGTTAATTGATAACTTAAGATGGAAGTGAAGAAATTTATACCTAACAGAATCTCTACCTGAGATCACATAAACAGATTGCGCTTAGTATCAACCACCTTAATCATGCATTTGAATTTTAATGACCACATGAAAGGATAATCAAGCCTAAGTGAATCGTGGGCAAAAGAAGACTGAAAAACTTTACCGACAACAACCAACACAACTGATAGAATTTTAGAGCAGCATAAAGAAGAAAAGCGTACCTTACTGCCAACGTATTTTACTCGTCGTAGACACTCTCGATAAAGCTAAGAGACAATAGCAAAAAGAAAGAAATGCATACTTAAATCACTTTGAAAGCAATTCTAGAGGCTGCATATATTCAAATAGCTAACCATTAAATGATACTTACTCGGATGGCGTTGTTGGCAAGTTCAGGGGGTAATGCTGTTTGGAGAGATGGCATTATGCAACTCAATTCAAACGGTTCCTATAGAAAAAAAGAGATGTAAGCCCTGTTTGAATGAGGGGATTTGTTTTTCAAGATTGATTCCAATCAAATGAATTCAAATCTGCATGACTGAAATACTTGAAATTGGAAACTAAAATGTATTAACCACCAATTTGCACACCTTACATTTTATTGTTGTGGAAAGGAAAAATATATACTTGGAAGACTTACATGACTATGACATAAAATTACATGTTGTGGACGTACTAACTTCTCAACTATTTGTCCAAAATTAGTTCTAACTTGATCGACCAAGCAATTGCCCCAATTGTTGTTTTATTATTTTTGAGGGAGGGATCATGGATCAAATTGGAAGTCAAATTTGTTACTATTACAGAAGGATGAGTTTCAGGTTAAAAAACTTGATTATCAGTCATTTCATCAACGGAAAAGGGTCAAATATACCCCTGTACTATTGAAAATAGTTTATATATACCCTTCGTTATACTTTCGGAGCATATATACCCCTCCCATCATACTTTGGTACATATATACCCCTAATTTTAACAGAATGACACATGTCAGCTTAAAAATCAACTAACCCATCCCCAATTTTAATTACCCAATTCCTTTGAAACCCACCCATTCCAAACCCATTTTTCGGGTGACCCACTTTCAACCAAATTCAATTTCATAAGTCATCTTCTTTATCTAAAACCTCCATTAAAATCAGCCACAAAAGCTCACTGTGAAACTAAAGGATGGAGTGAAACCTCCATTAAAATCAACCTAGAGGAGGAAGTGAGAAGCATTGCTTCCATTTTATTTTTAACTAGGATAAAGTAATTTTATTAATAGTAGCAGTACCAAGGGAGGACTGCATAAGTAAAAAAAATAGAATTTCAACACATTAGACGCTAAATCTCCACACCATCTCCTTCAACTGTAATTTCCCAAGATAAGCTTCAATATCAACTTTCCTTCAAAGGTATTTGCATCATTTGTGTTACGAAAAGTTTTCCATTTAATATTGTGGGAGCTCTTGCTGGTGTTGAGGCCTGATTTTAATGGAAATTTTAGATAAAGAAGATGACTTAAAGAAAATGGGTTTCTTTGAAGGTGGGTCAGGAAATGGGTGGATTTCAAAGGAATTGGGTAATTAAAATTGAGAATGAGTTATTTGATTTTTAAGCTGACATGTGTCATTCTGTTAAAATTAGGGGTATATATGTACCAAAGTATAACGGGAGGGGTATATATGATCCGAAAGTATAACGAAGGGTAATATAAACTATTTCCAATAGTACAGGGGTATATTTGACCCTTTTCCGTTTCATCAAACATCGTGGGTGGATTATCAGGTAGATTTTGAAATTCACAAG